TTGGAAGACATGAAAAATAATAATAATTTATAAATTATTAAGGGTTCATGAGGGAGAGAGGGTGGGAAAGGGAGGGGGAAAATGAGAAGCTGATACCAAGGGCTCAAGTAGAAAGAAAATGTTTTAAAAATGATTATGGCAACAAATGTAGAAATGTGCTTGACATAATGGATAGATGTATGGATTGTGAAAAGAGTTGTATGAGCCCACAATAAAATTAATTTAAAATATTTTTTTCTTCTCAAAGCCATTTTATGGGAAGCTAATACAGATATCAAATCATTCCCTTGATCAATCATATCAAGGAATACTGTACAATTGCTACCACAATCAGTTTCAAAACAGACTGTTCCTCTCTTCCTTCATAAACTCCTTGCCGTCAGTTCTCCTTTATCCTCCACCCCCACCTCACTGTACTGCCTGGAGCCTTCATTCTACTTGCTGTCTCAATGAGTTCATCAGTCCTTGATTTCATATACTGAAACAACAACAAAAATATAACAAAAATTCAAGAAGCTTACCCCCAGTGGCAAAATACATCTGAGATATACCCCAGTTTGAAAGAAAAAAAAGCACAGAAAATGTTGAAAACCAGGCCCAATGTGCATCAGGAGCTGAAAAGGTTTTAATCATTCAAGTCAGGTTTATCATTTTGATATTTTTAGTCAACACTTTATTGCACTTTGTCAGGTAATGTTTCTTCCTATCTCTCTATTATGACTAGGGGAATCACGGGAGGCGTATTTCCTCTGAAGCTCTCATAAATGTTATCTTGGATGTTCATTGTCATCCATCGCTTTTGCAAACCAGAATCTCACAGTTTAGACGTTGATACTGTTCACTCCTTCCACTTCATCTTATCTGACTAACAATCTTTCAGTGACTGATGAGGGTGTGCTTCTTCCAGGTGAACTTGGTGGACAACGTACTTATATGGCTGCTTTTATGAAAACAAGCCTTTAAGATCCCAGACACTCTTTTCTTGTATAGCCAGGCACCATCTAATTTCTTTACCATGCATTGTTATTGTACCCATATCTTCTGTGTTCTCTTCCCAAGAGCGAGGATCAAGCATTGCCATGATGTAGGAATTAATTGTTCTTAACTTGGAGCTAAGATTTAGTGTGAGCCCCAAGCCATTTCTGGATCTATGCTTTTTTTAATCTCCCTTTGGCTCTCTTTAGAAACTGCCTTGTTAATTTATGGAAGAGGGTCTCATTAATCATCTCCCTGGGGCAAAAAGATCTTCCATTAATATTGTCATTGGTTATCCCACAGTACTATTTCTTAAAAACACCGTTGAAAGAATAATATTGGGCCAATGTGAGTTAATTCCATATCTCAATATTTGATATTTCAAAGGTATAATATTAAAATATTTTCTCAAAGACTTAGGATAATAATTCTAAAAATAATGCTGCATTTTTGAAATTTTATTAAGAATGATATCAAAATGTGAAGCTATAGTTTCTCTAAATATACTCCATCATGGTCTATACATGCCTAAAGTTTGTGTTTCTAGCTTCCCTTAGCTTAGAGGAGCCCTGGTAGCATAGTGTTATCCCTTGGGGGTCTATCTGCAAGATCATCAGTTAGAAACCCCCGGTCCCTCCACAGGAGAAAGGCGAGGCTTTCTGGTTCTACAGAGAATTGTACTCTTAGCGCTCCCTGTCACTATGATTCAGAATAGACTTGATAGCAGGGGTTGCTCTCTTTGTTTCTTGCTTGCTCAATAAACTCTGTGCTCTTTAATTTATAATATATCAGAACAGAAGTTTGGCCATCCTGTGGATCTCAAAACATATTGAGATCCTAACAAAAGTCTCAAAAGATACCCCTTGCTGCCCTAAAAGAATGAGTAAGTGCATTCTTACGATAGGAAAAAAAAAAACCCCAACAAACTTCAGTATAACTTTCCTGCTTTTTTTCCTCATCAATAGGGCTTTCAATTTCAAATTAAGAAATTTCACTCACCAACCACAGGACAAGTATATTATTGAGAGAACTTCTCTCCAGACACATACTTATCACAGAGACATGTGGAAATACATTTTGTTTGCAATAAATATGAACATGATAACCCAGATCTCTAGTACAATTCTTTTTTGCTTACTTGTGCGTGTGTTTCCAAAAGTTAGTGAAAATTTTCTATTATCCGTTAATTTAATTTGTTCCTGGAAATATTTTATGATATCCATTGTGTGTATTATTATATTTTCAGTTTTCTATTATTTTCATTATCATGTTATCTTACAACACTTTCTCCAGATACAGAGGCAATTACCATGACTCGAATTTGACCTTGCAAGACTGGCTAGACAGAGGATGTACACTGGTACAGATAGGAACTGAAAATACAGAGAATCCAGGGCGGATGAGCCCTACAGGACCAGTGGTGTGAGTGATGAAACAGGGAGGGTAAAGGGAGAATGGGTAGGAAAGAGGGAACCGATTACAAGGAACTATATGTGACCTCCTCCCTGGGGGACAGACAACCGAAAAGTGGGTGAAGGGAGACGTCGGACAGGGCAAGATATGACAAAATACCAATTTATAAACTATCAAGGGCTCATGAGGGAGAGGGGAGCAGGGAGGGAGGGGAAAAATGAGGACCTAATGTCGGGGGTTTAAGTGGAGAGAAAACATTTTGAGAATGATGTACAAATGCGCTTTACACAATTGATGTGTGTATGGATTGCAATAACAGTTGTATGAGCCACTAATAAAATGTTAAAAAAAATAACTGATAATCTCCTTAATGTCCTTGCCCTGGCTTCCCAAACTACAACAGTTAGCTACAGTGGGGAAGTGATGAAAGAAGTGTGGCAAATTATGAGTTAGCACTGACAGGGTTACACCCTTGTATGTGAGTATCCGGTTCACTCATATCTCCAAGGATTGGAAGAAGATTTATTAACTCTTCCTTTCAGGTCTCAGAGCTGGAAACTGAAAACTCATGGAAAAGAACCACTTCTATGAAATGAGTAAGACCTGGGGGGAAAAGTGGGTTGAATGGGATGAAACAGAGTGATGTTGTAAAACAAAATAGAAACGAGTTTGAGGAGGATGAGAAGGCTGGTTCAGTAAACAAGGTGTTCACAGTTTGGCAGAGATTATACCATTCTCTAAAAACACTTTATTTTTTGTGCCCCCGCTGGTAACCTCCAAGTTGTATTCATAGGAGAGATGTTTGAGATAGGATTGTCCTGGATCCCTTGGAGGTCCATGGCAGGGATATGTTTTATGTTCACAGAGGAAATGGAGAGCCGTTTCAGGCACAGGAGAGAAGGAAGTCCAGAATACGATTGTGATGGAACATTATGAGCTTCTCTTTTTAAAATCATGCCCAAGTACCGGTGATTTCAATGTGATCTCAATTAAAGCTCAGTGGAATATGCCTTCGGGCATAAGGTATGAAGGAAAGGAAGGAGGATTTGGACAAAGGTCCAAGGTCAGAAAAGATTTATTAGGAGAGGTGATAGGACAGGCAGAGAGAAGGAAATAGCAGGTTTGTAAGTATTTGCTTATAAATATGTGCATTGAATTAATTTATGGTATGTATAGTCTTAAAGACTAATTTGTCTCTAGAATTTACTTATTTTTATATGCTCAATTTCCTAGAAAGTAGCCATTATGGAAACCTCTGTTACATTTAAGGCTTATCTCTATATATCTGAGGAGATTGAAGGAGATCTGAGTGTTTCAAAGGGTAGAAGTAATATGTACAAAATGAGAAGATGCAAATTTATTAATGATGGTAAAAATTATCTACCTGCCTGTGAATTACAAATTTTCCCATTAGTATTTTGATACATATGGATGGTTTGAAAGTGATGGACTAGTGGAATTTGAGGAAATGAATTGCCATTATTTTTGCAGAGATGTTTTTCTTAATCACAGAATAATTACTGGAATATAGTGGGGAAAATTATTTTTTCTTTTTTTTGAAAAATTATTTTCTTTCTTTGTTCAAGTACAAGCACTTAGGGTCAAGATTAGGACAAGTCAAGAGGCTTATTCTAGTTCTTAGACTTTATAAAAATGACATTTGGTCTTATTTGAATTATGGGCTAGTGCTAGGATTACTGGCTCAGTAATATATCACCCTGCCTTTCCATAGAATTGTATTATGAAAATTAACAAAGATAAAATTTAAGCCTTCAAAATCAAAACTAGAGTTAAAACACAGATGTCAGAAGACAGAATTGACATCAGACTTGACTATGTTATGTGTTATCTTGTTATGTGTCTTTTGTATATATGGGGATAAGTTTATAAGAACAAGAACCATGATGACCAACACTTCTCTGATTTTTCTAGAGTTAAAAGACAGATGTCAGATGACAGATTGATATCAGACTTGACTATGTTATATGCTATCTTGTTATGTGTATCTTGTATATATGTGACAGGTTAGTAAGAACAAGAACCATGATGACCAGCACTTGTCTGATTTTTGAGAAAGTACAATGTAAGGTATGGTTGCATCACTGAAGAAAATATTTTTTCATTACTAGGGAAGATATTATTGTATTGCTGAAGAAGCTATGAAGAACAGACAGATAAAGGGATCTCATGTAAATAACTTAAGAATTCCTGAAAAACAAACGAAGAAAAAATACTAAACTAAGACCAATGATTTTGGCCAAGTATACTAACATAAGTATACAAATGCAAGACATAAAATAGTCCATATGATGTTGTGTGCTGTTTTACCTGATTAGTGTTTTGAGAGATGATAATAATTTATAAAAATACTAATGGATCTACATTTGATGGAAGAAAGGGTCTATATGTGTTTAAAATGTATCTTTCACTTAATGGGAAACTCTTAACAGTAAAGTATGGATGGGTTTAAAAGTGATTACTGATAAGTGCTGATGATATTTGCTTGCTTGTTTGTTCTGTTTAGTTTTATTCTGAAATAGATCATACTTTTGATCTCTCTCCCTACAGTAATATGATCTTGGGACAGGATTATGGTACAGCAAGTCAATTCCATGACTTCCTCAAACTCCAGCAACTCCCTGTCCTCCACATTCTATCTCACAGGCATCCCTGGCTATGAGGAGTTTCACCACTGGATTTCTGTCCCATTCTGTCTCCTCTACTGTGTTGGAATAATGGGTAACTGTACCATCCTGCACATCGTCCGGACAGACCCCAGGCTGCACCAGCCCATGTACTATTTTCTAGCTATGCTTTCGCTTACTGACATGGGCATGTCCATGCCCACCATGATATCACTCTTCAGGGTGCTGTGGTCCATTTCCAGAGAAATCCAATTTGATGTCTGTGTGATCCAAATGTTTCTCATCCACACCTTCTCCTTCACTGAATCATCTGTGCTCTTGGCCATGGCCCTTGATCGTTATGTGGCTATTTGCCATCCTCTGAGATATGCCACCATTCTAACTCCAAGACTCATCGTCAAGATTGGAACTGCAGCCCTGCTCAGGAGTGCCTTTCCTGTGATTCCACTTCTGGTCCGACTGACTTACTTTCCTTTCTGCCGCTCCCACATCCTTTCTCATTCTTATTGTCTGCACCAGGACATAATCCGCCTTGCCTGCGCTGACATTAGCTTTAACATTATATATGGGTTAGTTTTTATCACTGTGCTGTGGGGCATGGACTCCCTAGGTATTTTTGTGTCTTATGTTTTCATCCTTCACTCAGTGTTGAGAATAGCATCCCGAGAAGGCAGACTTAAAGCCCTCAACACATGTACTTCTCACATCTGTGCCGTACTCATTCTTTACATCCCCATGATTGGATTGTCTATTGTCCATCGTTTTGCCAAACAATCTTCACCCCTAATCCACATATTCATGGCTCACATCTACTTATTAATCCCACCTGTGCTCAACCCAATCATCTATAGTGTGAAGACTAAGCAGATCCGCCAAGGAATTCTCCATCTGTTTCTTCCCCCAAAACATTAGTTCTATGGTGGTATAGGCATGTCTTCCAAACAATGTTTCTGGACTGTAAACCCATAATAATTCATCTGCTCTAATGATTCAATTATTATGTCAGTAGTAGAATTTCAAATATAAGACAAATTAAATAGTATAAACAGAAGCAGTATGAAAAGGCTTTAAAGGAGACTGTTTTCAAATCATTGAGATTAGAATCTGTATTCATATTGTCCTTCATGAAACTATTTTCTATGTGAATATTTTAAAGTGTGTTGAAAATCATTTCTGTTCTTTATTTCCCATTTGTGGTCACAACTAGTGTTTAAGAATACTTTACCCTTGGCATTTTTATTGACTATATCAAACTGTTGTCAACTTAATTTCTGATATTTTACAATATTTATCATGAAAACTTGTATTACATTAAAATAGAAACAAGCTATATCAGCATTCATATTTCTTTTAGTTAACCTGCTCCGAAAATAATGTTAATCTTATAGAAATCCAGAGCATATTTATATTTGCACACTCACAGATATTGTTTCGTATAGCCAAGAATGGTAACATACACACATTGGTATAGATAAGAGATCTCAACACATGGAATTCAGGACAGATAAAACCCTAAGGAACAGAAGTGGGAGTAGAGATATCTTGAGGGAAGGGGGATGGTTGGGCGGGGGTGAGGGGGAGAAAGGGGGAACCCATCACAAGGATGGATATATAGCCCACCCACTAGAGGGCGAATAACAGAAATACTGATAAAAGGAAACAATGGACTGTGTAAGACACGAAATGACAACAATAATATATAATCGATCAAGGATTTATTAAGATAGGAGGGTTGAGGAGGGAGGGGAAAAAGAGGAACTGATACCAAGGGCTCAAATAGAATGAAAATGTCTTGGAAATGTTGATGGCAACATAGGTATAAATGTGCTTAATACAATTGAATGATGGATTGTCATAAGATTTGTAAGAGCTCTTCAATAAAATGATAAAGACATATTGTTTATTTAAATATAAGCAAAACATAATCCACTGAGTTGTAGCTATTTGTAAATTTGTAACTGTACCTACTTAATTTAGGCCTCTTAATTCATAAATAGAACTCCTTTAAATAAACAAAACTATATTTATTTACATCAATGAAATTAGTACATGGTAGGTGTGAAGTTGTTAAAACTGAAATGTAATTAATTTTCTTATTAATCTACATTTGCTCAATGAAAAAATAAATAAAAGGATTGAAAATATTTTCAAGATGTTTTGTGGCCCTAAATATTTGTATAGATCTTCCCCACAGGATGTGTTATGACATGTCTTAGTTTATCCTAATTATTATAGAACAGAAGCTGTGCCTCAGTGTAGTACTTATACGTACTAGTGCTATGGTTTCTTTAAAGGAGAGAGTTGATAATATTAATAGAATGCATTAAAGATAAATAAAGGAATTATTTCTTGAAAAAGGAATGATTTTTTATATGAAAAAAGAAAAAAGTCTCAGAATAACAGCTTAGGAAATACAACCCCTTATAGATTAGTCGATAATGAGTCATAGTGGCCTATGGACCATGGTAGTATGTCCCCATAGGCTTCCAAGTAAATGGACTGTCACACTGTTGCCTGTGTAGTATATACTACCTACTGAGACACCAAGATGCCTAAGAAAAATCTTACTAACCCATAATTAGCACTTCAGTGTTCAAGCACCTGAGGTTTACCTAGAATATTCTGTTTCCTGCTTTTAATTTAACTGTGTCTGGTCCCACTGCTATTTCTATCTTCTAAACATTTACTTTTGATTTGAGCCCTTGGTATCAGCTCCTCTGCTTTCCCTCCCTCCCTCCTTCCACCCCTCCTGACCCCATGATAAATTATAAATTATTATTATTTTCATATCTTACACTGATAGCTGTCTCCCCTCACCCATGTTTCTGTTGTTCATCCCCCTGAAGGGGGGAGGGGATTATGCATTGACCATTTGGATCTGTTCCTCCTTCCTTCCCTCCTCCCACTACCTTCTCCCTATGCTCCTGGTATTGCTACTCCCACTTCTGTTCCTGAGGGGTTTATCTGACCTGGATTCCATGTGTCCTGAGCTGTTATCTGTACCAGTGTACATGCTCCAGTACACTAATCAGAACTGAAAGGCAGGCCTGGGGTCATGATAGTGGGGAGTGAGTAAGCCTCAAAAAACAGAGAAATATTGTGTGTTTCATTGGTGCTACACTGCACCCTGGTTGACTCATCCCTGCCTTGTGACCCTTCTGTAAAGGGATGTCCTATTTTCTTGAAATGGGGTTGGGTCTCTGCTCTGACCCCCCCCTTGTTCTCGACAATATGTTTTGTTGTTGTTGTTGTTTGTTTGGGTCTTCTTATGCCTATTACCTGATCCTGTTGACACCTCGTGTCAAGTAGACTTGTGCTTCTTCCATGTGGGCTCACTGCTTCTCTGCTAGTTGGCACTTGGTTAACATCCAGTCTTTAAGACCCCAGATGTTTATCTTTTGATACCCAGGCACCATCAGCTTTCCTCACCAAATTGGCCTATGCACCCATTTTGTCTTCAGTTTTGGTTATATGCCTTTCTGGTGGTGTGCTGACCTACAAGTTGGACTGCTAATCACAAGGTCAGTACTTCAAAACCACCAGTGATTCTGTGGAAGAAAGATGAAAGTACCTAAAGCTGTAAAGGTTTATAGTCTTTTAAATGCACAGTTGCGGTTTTACTCTGCCCTGCAGAGTCACTGAGAATGAGGACCAACTCTCCAGCAGTGAGCATTTTAGTGTCAAGGTATATGCTTGTCTATAATTTTGTCATACTGTAGTAGCCTGTGTGTTGCTGTGATACTGGAAGTTATGCCACCAGTATTTTAAATATCAACAGTCATCCAAGGCAAGCCGGCTTCAGAAAAGCTTACTGATTAAAAACAAACTATGAAGAAAGAAATGCTATCTAATCCTTCGGGATTGACCACTGACAACCTTATGAATAATTGCAGAACATTGTCAGATATAGTGCTGCAAGGTAGAATTGGTTATCTACTTCTAAAGGATTGACTACTGGAAACCTTAGGAACAGCAGTGAAACATATCCAGATATAGTGACAGAAAATGAATCCTTTAGGTGGAAAGATCCTCAAAATATGACAAAAAAAGCTGCTTCCTCAGAAACGAGTCAACCATAATGATGTGGATGAAGTTAAAATTAATTTGCTGAAGGGGAACAACTGAAAATGAGAAACACCCATTCATAATCAGAATGTAAAAAGTACAAAATAAGACTCTAGTAATATTATAAGTTGTCAAAAATGAAATGGAAATAATTAAGTTTTATATTCTAAGACTCAACCATCAGTGATCCAAAATGGACACGTCTTAGCCATTTTGACTCACACAAACATAGGTGAATGTTGGACACACAGAAATAAGAGATGGTATTTGAAAATGTAGCCTCAGTGATAGAAATAAAGCTTTAGAGTGCATGATAGAATTTTTCAAGACCAGTGACTTAGTCATTAAAAATAGCTTTCCTCCAGCCTATTCATCCAGTCTATCTTATCTAGATAGATCTGTAGAGATAATAATATGCACCAAAAATCAACCCATAGCAAGATACGCGATGAGTGAGAACTCAGCGACGACAACAAAAAAGGAAACCAATTACCCATAGAAGAATAAATTAATTAAAAGAAAAAAATTTTAAAAAGAAAGAAAAACCTGTAACTAGATTAAGGTCTGATCTCTAGGCATGTCCTTCAGTCAGGTCGGATGGGGTACCATGCTCTGGCCCGAGAGTCTGTCCTTTGTACTCCCTCAGGGGCTCCCTGCTCTGCTCCCACTGTTGCTCTGCCGCACGCTTTTAGTGGTTTGCCTGAGTATCACAGGGTCAGTCTGGGCCAGTCCAGACACTGAGTCTCCAATGTTGTCCCTCTTAGGGCCCTGGGCCATCAAGGTACCGTGTGTCTCATAGTGGGATCAGCCATATTGTCCACTCTGTCCATTGGCTCTTCAGAATGGGGATATCGTCCTCCAGGCCTGGTGGGTCAGGATGTGCTCCACTCTATCTTCCTCCCCCTTTATTTGCTCCCATTTGCACTGATCAGACATGCCCCTCTCCCCTAGCTGCAACTTCAGTGCAGTCCTCTGGAGAGGGGGAGGCGAGGGTAAGGAGGTGGTGCTGACCAAACCAGGGACAGGGGAGCAACAAGTGATCCAAAATCAGTGGCGAGGAGGGTGTGAAAGGCCTGGTAGGCATTCAGCAAGGGCAATGTAACTGAGAGAAATTACTGAAAACCAAATGAAGGCTGAGCATGACAGTGGGACAAGAGGAAAGTAAAAGGAAATAAAGGAAAGAACTAGGTGACAAAGGATATTTATAGAGGTCTAAAGACTTGAATGTACATATGTAAATATATTTGTATAAGAGCGCGGGGAAACAGATCTAAGTGCATATATTTATAGGTTTAGTATTAAGGCAGCAGATGGACATTGGGCCTCCACTCAAGCACTTACTCAATGCAAGAACATGTTGTCCTATTAAATTGGCATTCCAGGATGCACACTTTCCCGACACGATTGCTGAAGAAAAATGTGTGCATAAGCAAATGTGGTGAAGAAAGCTGATGGCGCCTGGTTATCAAAAGGAATAGTGTCTCGGGTCTTAAATGCTTGATGTTAAACAAGCGGCCATCTAGCTGAGAAGCATCAAAGCCCACATGGAAGAAACATACCAGCCTGTCTGACCACGAGATATAGAAAGGATCAGTTATCAGACATCAAAGAACAAAAAATCATATCATTATAAATGTGGGTGAGTGCAGAGTGGAGTCTCAAAGCCCATCGGTAGGCAAATAGACATCCCCTTACTGAAGGGTTGTGGGGAGGAGATGAGCCAGACAGGGTGCAGGGTAGCAATAATGAAACATATAACTTTCCTCAAGTTTTTAAATGCTTCCTCTCCCACTATCACGATCCCAATTCTACCTTAGAAATCTGGATAGACCAGAGGATGTACATTGGTACAGATAGCAACTGGAAACACAGGGAATCCAGGACAGACTCCTTCAGGACCAGTGGTGAGAGTGGCGATGCCTGGAGGGTGGAGGGAATGTGAGGTAGAAAGGGGGAACCGATTACAAGAATCTATGTAAAGCCTCCTGCCTGGGGGAGGGACAGCAGAGAAGAGGGTGGAGGGAGATGTCAGAGAGTGTAACATATGAAAAAATAATAATAACTTATTAATTATGAAGGGTTCATGAGGGAGAGGGAATGGGGAGGGAGGGGGAAAATGAGCAGCCGATATTAAGGGCTCAAGTAGAAGGCAAATGTTTTGAGAATGATGATGGCAACAAATGTACATATGTGCTTGACACAATGGATGGATGTATGGATTGTGATAAGAATTGTACGAACCCTCATAAAATGATTTAAAAAATAGCTTTCAACAGCATAAGTGGTGACAGTACACATAAACCTGACCAGGAAGAATACACAGTTATCAGATTAATTCAATTTGTATGGAGACACTATGAAGAGCTCAATATAAGCAGTCAAAATGAGAGCAAGGGCCAACTATAAAGAAGACCACCAATATAAGAAAAATTGTGATAATTATGCAGCATCGGGTGGGGTTCCTTTCTGTTGGACACAGGGTCACTGTGAGTTGAAACCACTTGGCCGCACCTAACAACAAGTTCTGGTTGAAGTTGAAGAAAATCCAGACAAGTCCACAAGAATAAACTATGACCTTAGGAATATCCCATTGGAATTTCAAGAACATCGCAAGAATAGATTTGACACATTGAATGGTAATGACAGAAAACCATGAGCTGTGAGGACACCAAGAACTTCAGAAGTGAGGAAAGAAAAGGTCATAAATAAGATAGGAAAAAAAGAAAAGATAAAAGTGGGGATCAAAAAGTCTCTGAAGTTTGCTTTTGACCGTAGAGTACCTAAAGCAAATGGGGGGCGGAAATAGATAAAGTAAAAGAGCTAGTTCAAACGGAAGTCTGAGAAGACAAAGTATTCTAAGGAAAAGATCTCAAGATAGAAAGCCAGAGGGGAGAATGCATTCAGCATATCAGAATTTGAATGAACTGAAGAAAAAACATGGAGGCCTAGAGTTGCAGGATTTTATGGGCAAAATATTGAACAATGCCAGGAATATCAAATGAAAAACAAGGCTACAGAAATTGAATACTAATTTAAGAATCTCCACAATTATGAAACACTGAAAGTACTCAATCATCTATGCCAAGGAAACTGGAAGACAGTTACCTGGACAACTGACTGGAAGACATGCATCTTTATACCCAATTCAGGAGAGAGGGATGCAACAGAACTCAGAAATTATTAAGCAATATCATTCATGTTATAAGCTGTCCAAAATTCAAGCCAGAATCAAAAGAGGATGTTACGTGAGGGATACAATTTCTGATTCCAGATGTATTTTGGCTGAAAGCAGAAAATACCAGAGACATTTGCCTGTGTTTTCATGTCTATTATCCAACTGAATGGATAATAATGGCTATGGATAACATACTACCACTTGTCTGTCAGTTTGTCTTACTGTGGTGGCCTGTGTGCTGCTATGTCATTGGCATTGAAATGCCATAAGGGCCCAGGCCATAGTCGGAACATAACAAAGGCACTTAACAATAAAAACATATGCAGATGGAACCCTGGTGGTATTAGACTGCTAACCAGAAGGTCAGCGGTTCAAACCCACCAGTAGTTTCTCAAAATAAAAATCGAGTAGGACTGGGCAGCATTTTTTCAGGATTAATAAGAAACCAACTCAACAGCGGCTAAAAGAGTGATACTAAGTGCTGGAGCTCAGTTATTTCACAAGCACTATTAATTCAAATCAAAACCATTGTTCCGGAATAAAACAGAATAGAACAGCTCCAATGGGTTTCCAAGCTATAACTTTTACAAAAGCAGAATACTTCATCTACGATCTTTCAGGTAGTGATCCAACACGTAGACCACTGCATGAACTGGGCTGCTACAGGTCATGAATGCTCCTGAAACAAAAGGTTCTGTTGTTTCTGCCCACAATGACAGTAGCTTATTCAATACCTATCTGGTTGGTATGTTGCTTTATAGATCAGGAGATTCTCTTACATATATTATCTTTTTAGATAAAATTATGAGTATTTGTCTTCTGAAAACCATCTCTGCCTTCCTGTAATTGTGTAAGAGAGAAAGAGTAAATAAGTAATCTGATTTTTTTTTTTAGGTATAAATCCCATGTCATTAGACAAAGATGAGGAAATTGTTTACATATGAAATACTATCCTTTGGCTAATGCATTGATAATCTTGATCCTGAAGAAAATCCTTATAAAAAACATGATTAAAAACTGTAACATACAAGACCACTATCCTTTTCATTATTGTACAATTTGATATTTTGTGCTATGCAAATCACAAAACACTTTATTTTCTCACTTTGGCAAGTTAGTCTAATAACTTTTAAAAAGGAAAATAATTTTTTCCAAAACAATGCCATGGATATGTTAATACTCATAAGTTAGACTCAATTATAGCAATATAATTTTTTCACGATGCTCAATGCATTAACCTCAACCACCAGAGCATGTACTTGTTTGCGTTATGTTCAGGACACTTTTTTTTTCTTTGTATGGATGATAGGAATATTTTATCAATATATTAAGAGGTAAATCTATTCTAGTGATTAAAATGATTGCACATTGCAGGTATTATAGCATATTATAGGTGAGGAAAAAGACCATTTAGAATGCAAGAGTTGGTATAGGAACAGCAAAATTAAGGAAAACAACGTGCTTATATAAAATAGTCCAATAAATTCAGTGGACACAAGCCTGAGGTATTTTCCTGATTTCTACTTCTGCAGAACTACTTTGACACAATTTTATCACTGTTAAGTCAGAGTGACGTGGGACACTACCAGAAGCTTTATAGGAGAAAGACCTGGCGATCTTCTCCTATAAAGACTGCAGCCTAGAAAACCCTATCAGCAATTCTCCTCCATCTCACAAAATACACGCAATGATTCCGACTGCAGGAGGAAACCAAAATCAGTGTGTGTGTAAGCATCTCAGCGCTGGCAGGGGTCTCCACGTGGCTGCCTCAGCACCCAGGGCTCCATCAGGGTAGGTCCATGAGGCATCTCCTCAGGCACGTCTTGCACGGAGTGAGCCTTGCCAGCTGAAGCAGAGAACTGTATAAATCAGCTGCACCCTGGTCCGACCATCAGAGAGCAAGATACCTGAGAACTAGAAAGGTGAGGGTCACCAAGCCATTTATCTCTCTGCCCTTCAATTAATCCCACATGTGTTTATCAGCCAGGTTGACACAATAAACCTCAACTATCTCAAACAATAACAACTCCATGGATAAAATGAATTGATTCAGTTTTAGTAACCAGACCACAAAACCACAACAATCTAGCTCATTGCCATTGAGTCAATGGTGACTCATAGTAACCGGATATGACAGAGCAGAACTGCCCCTGTGAATTTCAGAGACTAAGTTTTGATGGGAGTAGAAAGCCTCATCTTTTTGCCATGGACCAGCTAGTGTGTCAGTTTAGTGCCACCTTGTCTGATAAAGAAGCTTGCGCTCTCCTTTAATTGAGGTCCCATAGCAACCTGGGTTTTGCATATTCAACTTTCTGTTCTTGGATATTCAACTTACCCTTTCATGACATAATATACTTTATAATGTTTCTATGAAATATCTTTCTTTTTGGTCTATGGAATCTAATGAAATCAGTTATGTTTGTGTGGAACATATATATATATATATATATATATATATATATAGTACTATATATGTATATATATATAATATATTACTAAGACATTAGAGGAGTTAAGAAATAGATGTTTCCTGGAAACTAAAGGGAATGTTTTTGAGAGGAAAGGAAAGGAAATATTTTGCTAAAAGGCAAAGTGCACAGGGGCACAGCAGGGAGCTTGTTACATGAAAAAAAATCTATTGCAATTAATTAATTTATTGGTTGAGAAATGTATTTATTAAAATATCTATGACATTATTTGGATATTCTACATCCCCTGCATGTAATGGTGTGATTGGGAAGTAATACCAGTCTAAGGTTTATATTTTGACCTCTCCATAACAATTTTTAAAAGAAGTGATAAAGTGAAGAACAAAAAAGATGTTTAAAAATTCCACTTTGTTACTTTTATAGTTCAATAATATGTTGAGACATTTCCAAATGGTTTCAGCAATTCTCTGTCAGCACCCTCTTTGCCCCATGTTAGTAAAACAATATTTGGGAATAGTTAATATTTTAAATTATAACCAGAAATTCAGTTACCCGTGGACAAGTCTATCTGGATTGATCTAATATGATATACAAGCCTTGTTTTCCATTCTATGATTACCTGTTCTTTGTTGGTTCAATATCCTCAGATCATTTAGATTGGCTACAGAGTCCTAGTATTCGCATTCTTATCTCTTTGGTTTTTACCCCATACACAATGGGGTTCATGGTAGGTGGTACCAATAAGTAGAGATTTGCCAGAAGTATGAGAGTATGCCTTGGCACATGGTGCCCAAAGCGATGGGTAAAGAAGGAAAAAAAGGCTAGAGTATAAAATATCAAGATGACACAAATATGTGTTCCACAGGTTCCAAAAGCCTTTGTCTGAGCTTCTCTTGAAGGTAGTTGGAATACTGTCTGCAAAATTAGCCAGTACGAGATAGAGATGAAGACAAAATCCAGTCCAGTGGTGAGAAGAGCAGCAGTGAGCCCATAAATGCTATTGAGGACAATGCTATTGCAGGCCAACTTGGCAATGCCCATATTTTCACAGTAGGTGTGATGGATGATGTTGGTTCGGCAAAACTCCAACCGAAGAATGAGGAGAACACCAGGGGTGACTACCACCACACTTCGGACCACTAGAGCCAGGCCCACCTTGACAATGAGTGAGCCTGTGAGTAGTGTCGCATAGTGAAGTGGTTCACAGATGGCCACATATCGGTCAAAGGCCATGGCCAGAAGGACAGCAGATTCAGACAGGAAGAGAGCATGGACAAAGAACATCTGTGTAAGGCAGGCCGAAAACATAGATGGAGACGGACCGTGCCAGAAGATGTGAAGCATTTTAGGAACCGTGACAGTGCAGAGTAGAATATCATTGAATGCCAGCATTGCGAGGAAGAGATACATTGGCTCATGGAGCTTCCTGTCCCAGACAACTACCATTAAAACTAGGCCGTTGCCTAACACAGCCAAAAGGTACATGAAGCCAAAAGGAATAGAAATCCAGAAGTGGAAATCTTCTAATCCTGGGATGCCAGTCAGCAGAAAAGTAGTGGGTTTGGTGGATGTGTAGTTGGATGTTAGAGAGAGGTGCCCCAAATCTGTTACATGAGAAACAGAGAGAGAACTAGAGTGAACAATAGCAATAGGGGTTTTATTCCTATATCCTATTGAAATTCTAACCCCCACCCCCATTTTTTTGCATGAGGAAGTGATAGAGTCAAGAATAAAATGAGCTAAGATAAAAATGTTTAATTGTGTGATTCTGGGCAAATAATTTTCCTTCATCTAGAGACATATCTGAGGGGAGAACATTTGTAGTCAATATGATCAAGACTTTAGTCCTCTCTCTTTTATACTGTCAAATGTCCCCATCCCAGATCATTAGAGTCTCTATGAAGGAGCCCTTGTGGCACAACTGTGAAGTGCGGGCTGATGACCCAAAACTTGGCACTTTGAACCCATGTAATGAATGCAGGAAAGACAAGAATCTGCTCACACAAAAACTGAATCCAACGAAGCCCAGTGATACAGGTCTACTCTGTTGTTTGGGATGGTCACAAGTCAAAATCAACTTGAAAGAACAGAACACCCCCACTAGATATAATTATCACTGTTACAACCTAATAGTAATATCGTAGACACCAGCAAACAGAGAAGTGCTGTACCCTTTTCTTTCTACAGCACTCCATAGAAGAGAGGACAGAATAAGTATCTTCTGGGAACAATAAAACAACATCAATTTAATTGGTCAACTTCACACTGTAGCAGTAGCTCCTGAAAATTCATCATGTATGTTCATCAAAACTTTTGAACTAAAACTCTTAAGATGTTTAAAATAGTTATGTGTAACAATAGTCTCACAGCCATCCAGTCAATGCTGACTCATAGCAACCCTATAGAACAGGGCAAAGCTGCCCCTGTGAATTTCCAAGACTAAGGCTGTTTACGGGAATAGAAAGCCCTTCTTTCTCCCTCACAAAGTCTAGTGGTTTCAAAGTGGTTTCTGACCTTTCAGAATTCAGTCCAATGTAGTAACCACTCCGTAACCATGGCTCCCATTTAATCATACTAGTATATCTAAAAAGAGCCATTACAAGCTCTAATCTATGGGCTTCACTTTTTACGTAGCCTCATATCAGCATACAATAAAATACTGTCCTCCATTTCAAGATTGCTATTAACCAGCCCATGTGTTATTCAAAATCCCCTTTTCCCAGAGAATCCTCTTAAGAATTAAATCAGACACATTACAATACTGTAATACGTTTCCATCTTATTCTATCTTTCTGGCAAGGTCACTATGAATCAGAATAAAGTCGATGGCAATGGATATCTTATACTATATTTTCTGTCATCAAAATGTAGGTAAGTAAGAATAGACAAAATTTCTGTCAACAAACAAGCAACTTATGGTGGAGGAACTACCCTCGAATGAAATCTCCAAGCAGAACCTTTTTTTTCCTGAAGAGATGTTCACACAAGAGGTTTGACACACACACGTGATCTCCTAAAGATGAGATTTATTTTCTCTCCCAGCAGTGTCTGGCCTTGGTTATTACAACAGACACACCAGAAACGGTCACACACTTAAATAATACATACCTCACATTTCCGGAAAAGAGACAGCGCTGACAGTACATGACGACACTAAGAACACCTTCCTCATCGCTTACAATGTGACAAATATGTTCCTGAAATTACTGTAAGCTTTTTACACAGATTATTAATTTTATTGGTCACAACTGCTATATAAAAAAGCAGTTGTTATTATCCGTCTTGCAAAACTCCGGCACAGAAGAATTAAATTCCCCTCAATTACATCACTAATGGGTGTACAATAACCTATTTTAAACATTCAGATTCTAATTTTGGGACCCACAGCTCAAACTACTAAATGATTCTAATTTACCTTTTAGATACATGGTTTTCCTAGGATATTGAGAATATTAGAGCATAGATCTTGAATTTGCTCTTAGTACCTGCAAGGATAATATTCCTAGATCATGGCTAAAAATTCATGATTTATATAAATTCAGAAGATGTGTATATATACACACACACATTCATGATTACATGCACATACACGGCCTATGTTTTTATGGTACACAAATATCTATTAAAAAGAACACTGGGAATACCTTGGGGCCTCTTGAGTATTGCATCTGTTGAGTAACTGCTTTTTCACCTGAGACCTCAGTCAGTATTTGGAGTATCTAACAAAATCATGTACTCACACTTGTGAAACTATATCTTCCAGTTATAAAATAATATGGATAATCTCCTAAATCAATGAAAATTTATTAGCAACATCTTTCTCTCCCACTTTTTCCTCTATTTATTCATCTCTTTTGGAAGCTTAGTATTTAGCTAAACCAGACAAATATGAATATGTAAGTATACAGAGAGAAGCGTAATTCAAGGGAATGGCTCCCACAGGTGTGAAGGCTGGCAGGTCTCTAATCCATGAGTCATCTTACTGGAGATTCCTCTTGACTCATATGGTTGTAGGGACTGATGAATCTCCATATCTTCAAGTCAGACTGTAGGCTGCTGGCTTCCAAAAACTGGAGGACTACCTGAACTACATGCAGGATCAGAAGAGAAAGCAACATTTTTCAAAGCACTCATGCTTTTTAAGATTACTTCAAAATGTTTGTGGGAAAATTCAATTATTTTTTAATTCTAATTTTCCACAAATATTTTGAAGCCTCTTTGTGTGATAGATATATGCGCCATCTCCAAGGAAACTTCCTTTTCAAACTTTCAGCTCAATTCTGGAGTCACAGTGGCAATTGTTTTTTTTAGCACAGAGTAAATATTCAGGTTGAATGGGGATGTGGTGATAATTACAACACCTACATCCTTCAAGACGTTGGTGGTGCCACTAATGCCTGCACTTCCTCCAGGATGTAAAATTGCTTTAGGTTTACTAATTTCCTAGGTTCTGGGACCCTTAAATGTCTAATCAGAGCCATTGTCCAGGAATCCCTAGATTATTTCTTCTTCTTCTTCTTCTTCCCCTTCTCCTCCTCCTCCTCCTCTTCCCTCCCTCCTCCCCCATTCCTTTCCCCCCTTCTCCTCTCCCCACCACCTCTGTTTCACCAGTGAAAAGTCATTCAGGAAAGCTGGGAGAAAGATTAACAAAACAAATTCTTGGCATTTTAGTGAGGTCATTCCTCAAGAGGATCTAGTCTCCCCTTCATTGAAGGAGTTATGGGTCTGTATTGGGGTATGACTCTTTATTCTGAAAATTCAAGTTAGATTGCAGTTCACTTGACCTAAAATTTTTCACTTTATGAATCAAGTAAAAGCTCAGTATAATTCAAATATATTTCACTTCTAGGAACACTATGACTAAATATCCATCATCATAAGTCCCTACAACTCAGATTATTCTCATGACTGTTTGGACTCTGCTGCTCAGTACCTTAACCTCACTCACCTTGCTTTATAAGTTAGGTGCTGCCCATGGACCCCTACTGCCCCCATGGTAATTTTAGTGACACAACTGAATGGGTCAATTTGGTCCTGTGAATTACGTGTTTTAATTCAGTTAGAACAATTTCCACTCTCAAATTTGACTTAGATAAAATAGAAATTACAGCAGTCTTCAAGATACTGAGGATCACTTCACCATTATTTCCTCCCCATTAGAAATGTGTCCATGAGTGGTTATATCGACACAACATAATAAATCCACTGTAACATGCTCATTTGTCTAAGTCTTTAGAGGCTTTCTTCTGTAGTATACCAAGGCAGATCTTGCTATTCAACCTGATTTAATAGAGGCCTATCACTTAATAAGTGCATCTTGAACCAACCAAATAAACTATTAGATTTTTTACTCTATCAAGCTGAAACACTGAGTGAACTAGTTGTGATTAGTAGGCCCATAACAATATACTCAGACTGATCCAACTTTATTTCCCTTGCACCACTCTGTCACACATTTAATAGTCATTCTCACACCTATTCTCCAGGCTTCGGTGTGTATAGATTAGAAAACAACTAAGCAGCTCTAGTGGAGCATATTTTACCTCTTTCTGGGTTATAATTTGTATTTTACTCCTTAGAGGTTGGAGAAAGTCCAGTTATAGGTCTTGTTATAGGGAGACCTGGTGGCATTAATTAAGCATAGGCTGCCAGTCACAAGGTTACCAGTTTAAATCCACCAGGTGTTTTACAGGAAAAATTGGGGTTTTTCCTATTAATGCCCTCACTTAATTCCAGATACCATTTGAGTTTGAGAATTTAAGCAGCAGTGTAATTCACTTACTCTCTTAATAAGACTTTAGATTTGGTTGTGGCTATATCAACTCTGGTTCAACGAGATATAAGACATATTTCAGGCCACAGTGGCGACTGTGGGGTCTTCTGTGCAGCAGTATAGTTGTGACTCTAAAGCTTTGAATGCTTCCTTTTCTTTTACTACTTTGTGAAATGAAAGCAGGACCAACCAACCATCTTCCTTGTATTTCTTGTCCTGACAAAATTATAGTAAAATACCAAATATGCAATAACTTAGAGCCCTGTGTCTTGCAAAAAGTTGATACCATAATGGTGATAATATGCATATTTCTATCAGCACCTCACATCATGGATTAGCAATGCCCTCTTCATTTTTAAAGGCAGACTTATCAGAACTTTTAAAACTAGCCAAACTTGAGAAACTAGTTCCTAAATTCGTAGTTCATTAGGTTCCTAACACTTAATCTTGCTGTTTTGATTCTCTAGAACCATTCTCAGTACCATTTCTGTTTCAGTTATCAAGTACTGCTATAACAGAAATGACACAAGATGCTGGGTTTTAGAAACAGAAACTTACTTTTTCTAATTTAGGAGTTTTTAAGACCTAATTCAGGGTATTGGTTCTAGGTCAAGGTTTTTTCTTTTATGTCTCAGAAAAGAAGTAATCCAAGCAAGATTGTGACTTGAGTCAAGATACAGCCCACATAGAATTTACAGCACATTATTAAAGAAAAGATAATTATATAACATTACTAAATGGTAGGTAACCATACAATATTGGGGATCTGTCCTAGCCAGGTTGACATATATTTTGTGGTACACAATTCTAACCATGACATTACACTCTTTGTTACAAAACAGATTGTTCTTCTGAAATTTCATAAGGTGGTTTGAAGTCAGCAAATGTGTGTGTCACAGTTGTATCATTTCACCATACTTAGTTAATATGCATGCTGAGCAAATATTTAAAAATACACTATATGAACAAGAACTTGGAGGATGGCTCCTAATGACTTGTGATACGCAAATGACACGCCCTTGCGGAAAGCACACAGGTTTGGGTGCATGTGCTAATGAAAATCAAGTACTATAGCCTTCAGTGTGGGTGTGGGTTACAACTCATTGTAAAGAAAAGGAAAATCTTCACACTGGGAACAATAGAGAACATTATGATAAACAAAAGAAAGTTTGAAATTGTCAGGGATTTTGTCTTGCTTGCATCCACAGTCCATGCTCATGGAAACAACCGTCAATAAATTCTAGCGCTCTATCACTGTGCTGAAACCTTTCAATGGGCATTCCTTCAACTTCTGTAGCCTCATTTCTTGCTAATGGTTTCAGTGAAGCTTGAATTTCTTCTTTCGGCATCATTGGTTCGATCGTACACTACCATTTGAAGTGTATGAATATCAATCCTATTATTTTAGTGCACTGTCTGTTTTTCTACCATTTTCTATTGAGACTTCCCGGATTATTCCATGTTTTTCCCCATAGAATCTTTCAATATTTCAACTTCAGACTTGGATTATTTATTCTTGATTTCTTTCAACTTGAGATATGCTCAGCATACGCTTCATTTCTGACGCACTAAGTGGAAGTCTTTGGACGTCTCATTTTATTGCTTTACTTTGTGTACTCGGGCTGCTCTTTTACTTACGTCCTCATTTCCTTCATTTGCTTCAACTTTTAGCTAACGCATGATCGTGATCAAGTTTCAGAGATTCTTCTGCCATTTGTTTTGGTATTTATTTCCTTTCTTTCTTTAAAAAATTAGATTCTGCTTTCTTCATGTTTGATATTCTCAACGCCATCCCACCGTTCATCAGGTCTCTGTCATTAGCGTTCAATGCGTCAAAGCTGTTCTTGAGAAGGTCTCCAAATTCAGATGTGAACTATGGAACAATATGAGATCTGCATTATCTCCCAATAGAATGATTTTGAAAAAAAATCATTTGGGCTATATTCAAGGCCATATTTTCACTCTTATGGACTTTCTTTAATTTTCTTCAACTTCACCCTGAACTTCCTTATGAATAATTCATCGTCTATTCAACAGTCAACCCCTGGTCTCATTTTGGCCACTTAAATTGAGCAAAGTTGTGTTAGTCTGGGTAGACTAGAGAAACAAATACAAGAGCTTTATATACAAGAACAATTGAATATTGAGAAAGCATCCCAACCCAGTTCAGATCAAGTCCGTAAGTCCGATATTAGCCCCTATATCCAATACCAATCTATAAAGTCCTCTTCAGATGCATGAAACACACACAATGATGCTGAATGTGGGAAGATCACAGGCCAGTGGGTGGGAAGTATTGCGGATCCAGTGGCATTGTAAGCATCTCAGCACTGGCTGGGGTCTCCAGGCGGCTTCTCTGGCTCCAGAGGTGAT